GCTCACGGCGGCTCTTGGCAGCTCACACCAGCTGCCAGCCACACACGGTAGCTTATGGCAGCCCACTGCAGCAGGGGCTGCAGCCTAGACTGTTGCCGGTGACTCACAGCAGCCCAGTTCCAGGTCGAGCTGTTGTTCACCATCTTAGGTGTAGAGGACAGTGTCACTGGCTCCCATGTGGGATCCGAACCGGGGCCCTGCTGCTCAGAACTGGCGTCCTAAGCCAGCTATTAACCGACGCATCACTCAGCCGGCCCGCAGTTTTCCTTTTTGGTTCATTAGTTTGGCAAAAGCAAGTGGGTAAAGAATAATGAATTTAATTTTCATTTTAAGTCTGTCTTCTGGGCAATTCTTGGCCCACAGGTACTGAAAGAGAAAGGTAAAGTGAACATCCAAGTTGTTTTTATAGAGAAAAGATAATAGGTATTCCTTGCTTTCGAAGTGGCATAGCGTAAGAGCTAACTGCTCAGTTTCTGTGGTTAAGTGACCTACAAACAGAGCCTTAGTTCTGCTATATGCTAGTTAAGGGTCCTTGTGGAAGTTACTTAATCTTCATAAACTTCCTGTCTCCATTTGAACAGTAGGGAAACTAACACAGGTATTACAAGGGTGAGGTATGCTAGTGCTTGGCTTATGGAAAGTGCTCTTTAACTGTTTTACTTTGGGTCCCAGTGAGTTTGTGGTGTGCATCAGTGAGATGTTGTCATCTAGGGTTCTCCTTGAAGATCCAGGCGGGACCTTTCTACTGCCTTAGGAATCAGTGTTTATCATCTGAAAGGGAAAACAAAGATACAGATGAGAGGGAAACAACATATAACAACTTGTAATCCCCAACCTACTACCATCCAGAAATAACATTGGTAATAAGGACTTCTCTTTGCCATGATGCTGATTTGGATTTGGAGCCCATATCCCAATGATAGACAAGACTGCTTTCTTATTTGAGAAGTCTCAGTTAAGGTTGCTGGGCCTAAAATTTAATCTTTTGTTATTAGGGGCATTATATTTATATAAAGTTTGTTCCTTAGATGCTGTTTCTCAAATGTTGGGATTCTTTATCTTCTGTCTGGATCCATTCTCCCATGTATATACAAGGCCATGTATAGATGACTGTAAGATATGATATAGTAAACACTAGAGGCAAATACATGCTCTATTCCTATTTGGGATTTAGAAATTCCAAATCTTTATCACCTACTCTGATTAAGCTGGAACATGGGACTCCCTTTCTTCTGTGAGCCTAAAGCCTAGGCCAGAACCAGGCATAAGCAAACAAACAACTCTTCTGTTTACTGTACCCTTAATCTTTGCTCTTGTCTTAAGCTTTTCCAATTGGGAGCCACTCTGGTGGGAGACTCACAGGAGGAAAAATTGGGGTTTCACACCTTTTTCTTCTCTTCCCCCATACAAAACACTCCATTCCCAGGACAGTCACTTTATTGTGGTCTTCCTGTCCATTTTGTATTGATGTGAAGCAGAGGCCATTCTGAAGTTAGAATGGTAAAATAAATGGCTACAGTCCTCATTTTTTCCCATCTTAACCTAGTAGACATAACTGTCAGACTGACGGTTAGCCAGGCTGTTGCTCTCCCGATTCAGCATCAGTGAATAAATAGTCCAGGTCATGTCTGCACTTTTGTTAGCCTCTAAGCCTTCCCTCAGTTTCTTTATATTTACTTAGAAGTAATGTTCTAGTTTTATTTCCTAGGGACTTTGTTAGGTATGTTTCTTTAGTGGATCTTCCTGGAAGCCATTAAAATGCATATACATGTTACCTGAATTAACTTGAGAATTATCCTATATTCTGGCCAAGAAGTCACCTTTTAATTCTGTTTCCCCTCTTAAAATATGCCTCACCAGCTGTTATACAGTTAAACTCATCTCAGTGTATTCAGAGTATAATAACTGTCAAATTGTGATATTAAAAATGACTTAGAATTTGTCACTTGTTGTGAGAGGTGAAATTACACACCTTTACCAAATAATACTTTGACAGCAATCTCAACAGAAAATACCCTCTGAGTGTGATTTTTTTTTTTAAGATTTTATTGGGGAATTGGGGGAGGGGAACAGACAAGTTGCTGTCTTTTTGTTCTTCAGTCTAGTTGTGGAGGACGTTGCTTCACTGCCCATGTTGGTATCATCATTGTGCTTTTCCTGGATTAGGCAGTTGGTTGCTAGCCACTGGACAGCCGTTTATGGCAGCTCTTGGCAGCTCATGCCGGCTGCCAGCCACTCACGGTAGCTTATGGGAGCCCATTGCAGCCCCACTGCAGCCTATGCCGTTACCGGCAACTCAGGGCAGCCCAGCTCCAGGTTGAGCTGTTGTTCAGAATCTTAGCTGTGGAGGGCAGTGTCACTGGCCCTCATATGTGGGATCCGAACCGGGGCCCTCTGGCGTCCCAAGCCAGTTCTTAACCATCGCGCCACTCGGCCGGCCCTCTAATTGTGATTTTTAAAAAGATAATTCCTTCAGTTACCAAATGTAATAGACACATTTAATCGGGTGCTTAGGCCTTTTAGATTTCATCTTTAGGAGATAGGATTCTTCTCCAAGAATCTTGACTGAAAGATGTCAGTCTTTAGTTTTAGGTAGCCATTCCCTCTCTAACAATGCGTCAGTAGCTTAAGAAATACACTGTGACATGATGCCTTAGAACATTTCTGTCTAGATTGGAATGGTAAGGGCCTGATTAATTAATTTATTTATTTATTTATTGAAAGATTTTATTGGGGAATTGGGGAAGGAGAACAGTGCTGGGGAATTGGGGAAGGGGAACAGCCAAGTTCTTGTCCTTCAGTCTTAGTTGTGGGGGGTGCAGCTAGCTCAGCTACAAGTCCAGTTGCCATCTGGCCGCCTGTTGGCAGCTCAGAGCAGCTCAGCTCAAGGTGCTGTATTCAATCTTAGTTGCAGGTGGGCATAGTCCACCATGCCATGTGGGAGTTGAACCGACAACCTTGTTAGGAGCATGTGCTCTCACCAACTGAGCCATCCTGCGTTGGCAGCTCAGCCTCAGCTCAGCTTGGGCGCAGCTCACTGGCCCATGTGGTAATCGAACCTACAACCCTGTTGCTCAGACCTCGTTCTCTTAACCAACTGAGCCACTTGGCCGGCCATTTTATTTTTTTATAAAACAACTTTTAAAAGATTTCTTTATAGTATAATATATGTATAATATAGGTTAAATGTGTGTTAAGTAGTATGTATAGGTTAAGTATTGGGAGAATGCTTTGCTGAAAATGGTTTAGCCATCTTAATTTTTTTTTCTTTATTGAAGGATTCCTAGATGAGGTGATGAAGAAGTATGGCAGTTTGGTCCCACTCAGTGAGAAAGATGTCCTTGGAAGATTAAAAGATGTCTTTAATGAAGACTTTTCTAATAGGTTTGTGTATAATGCTTAAGTTGTTCTTGAAAATAAAATTGTTATAATATATTACTTTTCTCTTGATTGAAAAAAAGATACGTAGCTATACATTGAGTAGAACTCATGGTTTTTACTTTTATTTTTAAATCTTTCTGTTTCAGAAAACCATTTATCAATAGGGAAATAACAAACTATCGGGCCAGACATCAAAAATGCAACTTCCGTATCTTCTACAACAAGCACATGCTGGACATGGATGACCTGGCGACGCTGGATGGTCAGAATTGGCTGAATGACCAGGTTAGTGTATTGTAGGTTCTCACTGAGGAAGAGTTGCAGAGGATGTTGGAAAATACAGTACAATTAATAACCTCTGGGTTGGCCTCACAGTTAACTTTTTTTTTAGTTATCTTTTGGAATCAAGGATTCTTTATTCCATACTAAAGTGACTCATTCACTAACCCTACTATCCAAAAGCTTGGATTACTGTTAGCAGTATCAATATGTTATTCATTCTGAGTGGGATGTTTTGAATTGTATAGGGTTAGTAAGCTGGTTTTATGTTGACTTTTTATAGGTCATTAATATGTACGGTGAGCTGATAATGGATGCAGTCCCAGACAAAGTAAGTGAAAACTTGCTCTTCTTTAGGAGAGAAAGAGTCCTTGTGTATTAAAAGAAGTTTTTAATTTTTATTTATTTAATTAATTTATTTTTTTATTATTAGTTTCATGTGCACAAAACAATGTAATAGTTACACATTTCACCCCTCACAAAGTGATAATCCCCCTCACCCAATCTATTGCCCCTCTGACATCATATATATCTATTACAATTCCATTGACTTCCCTATACTGTACTCCATATCCCTTGACTATATATATATTAAATTATAGTTGACATACAATATTATTCAGCTTCAGATGTACAGTGCTGTGGTCAAGCATCTACACTGTCCATGAAGTGATCTCCCTAGCACAACATGTGCCCATCTGACACCCTACAAACTCTTTACATTATTGATTATATTCCCCAAACTGCCTTTCCTATCCCTGTGGCAATATTGTAGTTACCAGTGTATGCTGTCTAATCCCTTCCCCTTCTCCCTCATCCCCACTCCATCAGTTTTTCCTCTATATCTCTGAGACTATTTCTATTTAGTTTGCTCATTTATTCAGTTCTTTTGATTGCACATATAAGTGAGGTCATATGGTATTTGTCTTTCTCCAACTGATGTATGTCACTTAGCATAATGTTCTTTAGGTCCATCCATGTCATTGCAGGGTTTTTTTGGGTTTTTTAAATTAATTTTATGTAATTATTTGATATTCCTTAAATTTTTAAGAAGTGTTAGATTTTCTCTTGATCATGTACTAGGGTTGGGCATTCATTCTATAAAATCACTTCTGCATAAGAAAGTCATAATGCCAGTGTTTTCCTGCTTATTGTTTCAGAGTGGGTATGTTGATACTTTGAGGAAGCTATTCTTTTTTTTTAGTGAGAGATGCACAAAAGGGACTAATTACTTTAAACTTTTAAATTTAACTTACTCTCTTTAAAAACATGGTAAAGTAGTATTTATCTTCACTTTATCTTGGATTAATGTTCGATATTCAGTTCAAATACAAACTAACCCCCCTTAAACTATAAAATTCCCTTAATTCCCTTTCTATGTTAGCACTCAAATTGCCTGATGGGCAGCCTTTGATTTCAACAAGCAAAACCTTTCCAAGTACTTTATAAACTTTTATAAATCTAGTAACTTAAACAAGAAAATGTAATGAATCTCAGATTCCAACATCATTTATGAATATAGACAAAATATAACTTTCTACTTAAAATCACAAATCTGTTATATATTTTAAATTGGAACTATCAGGCTAATCTGTCAGATTCTCTTAATCATGAGAAAGTTTAAATATATACAGTTGATTTTTTTTTTTTTTTTTTTTGTTTACCCTTTTTTTTTTTTTTTTCATTTTTTTTTTTTTTTTTTTTTTTTTTTTTTTTTTTTTTAGCTAAGCCATCCTGCCACCTGTTGGCAGCTCAGCGGCAGCTCAGCTCCGGCCATGAATCAAACTGGCAACCCTGTTGCTCAGAGCTCGCACTCTTGAGCGAGCTCTTAACCAACTGAGCCACTTGGCCGGCCCCATACAGTTGATTTTTAACATTAAAGTATTGCTTTCAAAAAGGGTATAATTTACCTCTTTACATTTAATTCTGAACCTTTACTGGATTAAAACAGCACTTAATGAGGTAGTAGTTCTTGAAGTATAGTTAGTCCTCAGACCAAGAGCATCAGCATTACCTGGGAACTTACTAAAAATGCCAGTTTATGGACTCCAGCCCATAACTACTGAATCAGAAAACTGGAAGTGGGGCCCAGCAATCTGTGTGAACAAGCATTCCATATTCTGATGCATATAAATTTTGAATATCACTGCTCTAGAGATAGCTACTGTAAGCTCTTTTTTATTGATATCTTAAGGCACATGATTCTCAAAACAAATGTGCATTGGAATCCTCTGGAAGGTTTATAAAACTAGATTGCTGAGCCCCGCCCTCAGTTTGTGCTGTAGTAGGTCTGGGGTAGATCCTCAGAATTTGCATTTTAGCAAGTTCCCCGGTGATGCTGATCCTGCAGTCTGCTGACCACATCTTGAGAAGCTGAACACTAAGAGAACAATTTTGTCATAAGCGAGTCAGACTTACTGAGTAAACACTTAAGACCACAATAGTTACTATCTCAGGTGAGCTGATGCTAATTTATAAGCCAGGGAAGCAGGACATGAAGCTCCATATGACCAGAGTAAGTTTTGCAGTGCTAGAAATGATCACGTGTATGATTGTTATAACAACAAGACTCCCCAAATTCACATCCTCCAGATTGGGTTAGCTTTGTGGTCTATATCCCTTGAGTTCAGGGAATTATTACTTCATTATTTCATAGCCTTTTTCAGCTTTTCACCTGATTTGCAGAGATTTGTCAGGTTGCTTCTCTACTTGATTGGATTCAGGTAATCTATTTACTGCCTATTACAGTTCTAACTATAGACCACAGCTGTAAGGTCATTCTAATGACAATTTGGAACAGAATCTTCTGTGAAACATGTAGCGAGTGTATTTTGTATATTTTGGTTATTATTTTGAAGAATAAACTTCCCCTCACCTTTTTGTCTATCTTATATTAGGATTTTTAAATTTCCAGTTTCTTTTGAAGTTAAATCTGGTCACAGCCTAATATAATCAGGGTGCTTGTATTTGATGTCTCTTGTAGGTTCACTTCTTCAACAGCTTTTTTCATAGACAGCTGGTAACCAAAGGATATAATGGAGTAAAAAGATGGACTAAAAAGGTATTCTCTTTATTTCTTTTTATTCTCAATTTGAAATGAAGATGATAAGCCACTTTGGTGGAAGAATAAGGACTTTAATGTCAGTATGTTAATTAGAAACAGACTCCTTAATGTGACAGTTTTTTATTGTTTATTTTAAATCTTGTTTGAAAGACAAAGCACTAGTAAAATTGAGTCTGTTCACTTGGTTGGAAAATGCTACGACAGAGCACTGGACAGGAAGTTAATGGTTCCTGCATTGCTATTAGCTTAATGCACAACTTGGCCAGGACACTTATCTGGACTTTAGATTGCTTATTTATAAAACATGATAGAGTCATTCCTAAAGTCCCTTCCAACCTTAATTTATCTCCATAGCCATACACTATGCCAAAAACATT